AAAGGGGTTCCTCCAAATGACTGTGCCAAAGTTGAGGGCATAGCACTGATCCTGTGGATCCATGGCAATGGGTATTCCATGACCCACTCTCCGGCCCCTCAGCATTGGAGTCTACATTCTTGATGTATGGTGTGGAGGAACCGAGGGGGGGTCAGCGTGGCGCTGCCCTTAAATAGCCTGGGGAGTAGCTCAGGACCAGAGCATGCGTGCCACCCCTACAGATACTGCTAAGGATGTTCTTTGACTTTAATGCCCTTTCGCATGCACACCTGAGTGGAAAACATTTCTGCACCCTCATCTTAAAGAACAACAATTACAGTACAGGTAAGTAACTGTCTTATCTGTTGACTTCACTGCATCAATACACTTGAATCATAGTTTCAAGTTTTTTTTCCCTACTTTGAGGGCTAGGAAACTCTTTACATCAGAAATTCATCTTTCATTTTTTAATCACATGACTCCAGGAGCTGGGGCCCTAGGCATTTACAGAGCCTATGCCTTAATCTCGCCCTGTGGATACATCCAGAATATCTTCACTCTGCTTAAGCAATGTAAGTTTCAGAGAGGAACATTGGTCCATGTTTTTCCAAAGTTATCTTCATTTGAGGACAGTAAATGGTTGATTTTGAACACTGCTTATGCTTTTCCTAACTGACCTCTGTGTACAGGATGGTTGTGGACACTTCATTTGTATTGTAGGAGAGAGCAGGAAACAGCAGATGCCTAAGGGCTAATATTCTGGCAAGCAGCAGCACAAATAAACTAACAATCAGCAGTGAAATATTTCACCTCAGTCTAGATAGGTATATGTCAGATAAAAATTGTTTAGAAAGGTGCAGGTGCCCAAAGTCTGAGCACTTGGCATTCCTAGACAATGGCCAGCAAACTCTTGAGGTTTAGGCTGGCTGTGGGCTACATTTTATACCAGCTCCCAGAAAGTAGATGAGAAGAGACTTGAGAACCCTGCCCTAGATGTAGTTAGGTGAGAAGCACTCATGTGTACTGTATAACCGCTCCTTTTTTTCCTCCTAGATCTCCATCTACTGGTGGATGTAGCTTGCAAACAGGAGCACTTTCCAAAAGAAGAATTAAGAGAGTGAGAAGTGGGTGACAAGCATGTGAAAATGTGCAGTAACTGCCAACTGGGTTCTCCATATCAGACCGCAGAGGCAGTGATTTGCACACAATATGCACTTTGGAACTTTTCAACTGTTAAAAAAAATCTCTTTCCTTTTGCTTTTGTTGTGAGTTGTATGGGGAACTAGTCACTTCATTGTTTACTGCATCTCTTTTGTTACATTTTCTACTTTGACAGGTTGTAAAACATCTAGCGGCCAGAGTGTTCAATATGCAATAATTGTTTACCTGCCTAAAATTGCTTAGAAACAAAAAGCTTGGACTCTCCGTAAACAGGAAACCTTAAAAGCCTCTGCAAGACTTTCTTACTGGGGAGCAAGCTGTTTCTCGTGTTGTATTTGGAATCTCTCTACTTCACTTTGTTGGGGAGTATAGTCAGCACAGCCCCAGTGCATCTCCTTGGAGTTACGCCGGCCCTTTAAAGGGAATTGTATGAGAAACAAAAACATTGGGAGGTCACAAGATTCCAGGTCTGAGTGAGTCAGGGATTCCAGGAGAGCATCTCTGGGAAAAGTGAGCTAATTTTCTAAGTGATTACTCAGGAAATGCTCTTCCTTCCAAGCACAGTGCTCTGTTTCATCAGCAAGTGTGTCCGACCACTGAGCATCCACCACACACAACAGCCGCTGGATCTTTTACATAAATGAAACATTCTTCTGTTTTAATAATTTCATTTGATTCTAGTGATATCTATAATGGTAAGTCATCTCTTTGTTTACTGTATTGCTTATTTTAAGTAGGTCTTCACAAGACACTTGTTTAATATAATTGTATTTATATTGACAGTAGAGTTAAGGTTTTTAACAGCTATGTATTTGTATTAATATTTATTAATGTTGAAATACTGACAGAGGGATAAAGGATGCATGTGCAATATTTGTTGTGTTAGGATAATATATGTGAATGAGGCAGCATTGAAAAATGTAACTCTAATTGTTTCCTGCCTGTTCATGTATCTTTATAGTCAGTGAGACTCAGTCCAATATAATTGGGAAAATGGACAAGGAAGAAACAGAGCGAATAGGCCTGCTATTTGTCAGAAACCGAATTATGGCCTTTCTACAGCTTACAGCTATGTTCAGTACCTCGCAGAAAAACTCTGGATGGTAGGATGAACCAAGTTCAGACCTTTTAAATCCCTACCAAGGCTCCAGACTAGAAAGTTGGAAGCTGGGGGATGCTCTTGGGTCATGGCACACTAGCAGGAACACTACTATACTGACCTTCCTCAGAGCTGCCATTTTACATCTTTCGTCGTATGCATACAGTACGTTTTCAGAGGCCTTGAATATTTTAGGGGGTTGCATCTTCTCAGGCCATACGGTCAAATTAGAATATGTGGAAACCCAATAGTAAAAAAATGGACTTTGTGCATTCAAATAGTTAAAGGGAAAAGGAGTTCAGCAATACAGCAGGAACACTGAAATCTGAGTTTGGTTTGTTGCACCCCAGGCTGGCAGGGCTTGGGACTAATGCAGAGGATGCTGTTGGAATAGAGGAGAGCCTCATTACCCTCTAGCAGTTTCTGCCATTAAGGGAATGATGACAGGTTTGGAGGAGAGTCCTGTCTAGTTCAGCTGCCCTGACTACTAAGTGAGTATGAAGTCATAGGGATCACTGGAATTCTGCATTGCCAGACTGGAGCTATTACATATGAAGTAAGGAAGCTTCCTGTCTTAACTTTCTCAGTCCTGTCTACACCAAAAGATGTGATGTTCTTTTGGAGAGATGAGTCAAGGAGTCTTGGCATGGTTTAAGGTTCTATTGTTTTAATGATTAATTACGAAATCCTAGTATTTATTACCTTTCTGAATTAAAAAAGGCCATGGAGCTGGATCTCCTGCCATACTTTACATACACAGTATTATCAGCTGTAGCTTTCCTTATCCTTAATTAACTCCCAGGCACATTGTGAGAGGGCAGAAGAGAAAGGACACTCACTGTGTAAAGAAATCCGTATAATATTGCACAAAACAAACAAGTCTCAGGTAACTGGGCAGACTGGACATCTCATTATTTCGGCACTTTTAGCATGGATGTATTTCAGTCAGTAAATAATAAAGTGTGACTGCTCCAACCAGGCACATTGTTTTACTATTTTCTTGTTAATGGGAACAGTGTGGAGTGTGATCTCACTGAGATGTAAAATTACAGCAGCACATACAGATCATGGTTGCAGTAATCTGCAACCAAAGTTGTTAAAGTGAAATAGATGTTGCATTTATATTCTCAATATGTGTGTTAAACTTTAAAATGTGGATATTTTAAAATAAATATTTTAACCAATAGTTCCTGATAGCGCCTTTATAAATTAAAAACATCATTGCCACACTGATAGGCTTCTTAAAAGTATAGTCTACCAGATCTCCCCCTTGTGTAACTCCATTGACTTCTGTGGAGTTCACCAGGGATGAATTTGGCTCCATGTGTACCCAAAGGGTCATTAATCGGTCATGTTTTTGAATGCAATTCCTTTTTCATAAGCACCATGTTTTATAGTGATTCTCTCCTAACTAGCTTAATGAGAGGCTGGATGGATAGGATAGCATATTTTCTGTATGGCATATACTTGGGGGTTTTTTTATATGTCTTTGAGATTCCTTGTCAACACAGATCCATCACATGCCTAGTTACAAACTTCCACTTGCAACCTAACTTTGAGGTTATAGGTCTGACCTATAGTATTATTCACCTCCCAGTGATGTCAGAGGAGAATAACAGTTGAATTCCAGACCTCTGACATCAGCCTGACCTGAAACGTTCTTGCAGTAGCAACTAGAAAAGGGCTACTGAATCTAAATTAGCAAGAGCTGAAGAAAAGCTGTGCGTGAAATGGACGGAGTCCTTCCCAGGGCCGAAGACATAAGGCTGCAATAAATCAGTACATTCTACTGAGGGGAGTTGCTTCAGATACTGGCTTGATGCCATTCAGAGTGTCACGGGAAGGCTGGGAAAGAGCCTGCCATCACACTGATAAATTCCCTACTTCATTTGTTTATTGATCTGACTTAGCATTTTAATTTATTTTATTATTTATTTTTATCTTTGCTATGTTGGGCACAGACTTTGCTTTAATGTCAGTTTGAAGGACCAGTCAATGACCCTGATTTATATGTGATAGCTTAATCGGTTAGTAAGTTAGTAAGGGATGTGTTGAATGCAATTTAGCTGTGGATCAGGAGAGGGAGTCCAGGAGCATTGAGAACCAGACATCAAGGGGGTGGGGTTGTTGCCTATGGCTGCTCCACCCTCACTTTGTGTCAGCAGGTAGAGAGAAAGCTTGCAGTCCCAGGGGAGGGAGGCAGAGAGCTGAGGAACACAAACTGCAAACCACAGGCTTCCTCCTCCAGGGAGTCGATCCAGAAGTGCTTTTCTGGAAGGAAAGCTCTTCCACGACATCTACATAACTTTCCAAGTCCACCTCAGGATTCAGAGTCCTTGCTTCTGGGATTTGTTGCCTACTTTAATACTGATAGCAGTCTGCCTAGGTTTGCTGCTGGATTGTTGCTGATATTTCCAAACTTTGTTTTCTTTCTCGCGCCGCACATTTCGAGCTGATCATTGTATGTGCTGTAACGAGAAGAGAGACTCTTTTATTTGAATGGAGTATTCAGAAATGCTTTTGGATTCATTCTAAGCTTTTTCGATTGCATTTGGACACTTAACTTTCAGCCATGCCTGGCCCAGGAACTTTCAGCCTGGAGTAAATTTCTACCTTTGATCTTGTTGGATTGTCTTTCGGGCTGTGGAATTCCATTCCTATCTACCTGCATTTTGTGCATGCGTGCGTGTGTGTGTGTGTGTGTGTGAGAGAGGGAGAGAGAATTATTTTTTTCTAAGTTACAGGTTAGTAAAATAACAGACAGTTTTTTCTAAGCTGTTAAAAGTTGGTTTTGTCCAGGATTTATAGAAACATTTCCATCTGTTTCAGCCCCTGGAGATTCCTGCAGGCAGACTACTCAGCAGGTTTGCAGATCTCTCTTAAAAATCCATATCTCCCTTCTCAGGAGAATGATCAGTGTCCCAAGTCATTTTAGTTGCTGAATTTCTCTATCCCCTCTCTACAATTATGAAGACTCTTCAGTACTTTTTGTGTGACCTTTGGGTAGCCCATATGGATTTTTTGTGTGTGTGTTGCTTTTATTTACCATTGTATTAACATGTGCTTGAAAGCAATTACAGCAGTTCCTGAGCGTGCACAGGAATAGCATAAAACAAGGACATGTTGGTAACTTTTTGCTCAAAGCCTGTGCCTAAACTTTTAAAATGTTTTGGGGGCGTTTTTACCTCCTGGGAATTTGAAAATAGGTTGAGAAGCCTCTTGTTCATCTAATGAATTTTGGGAACTGAAGATCAGAAGATATGTGCTTTAAAACAGACTCCAAACACAGATTACTAGTGATTTCCTATCCTTGTGCTGAACCAGGAGAATAAATCTTGATCCCTGAGCCCAAGTGAGCGAGGCATTTCTAACAGAACAGGGATGTCAGGGATCAAATAAATTTGGAGGACAGCCCAATAGCAAACACTTATTATTTATACTGAACTTTAAAAATACTGCTGTAATTATCGAAGGGGAATATCCGCTCTCCTCCAACATTATTCTTTAATATGTGGAGTTGATGGAAGACACTGATACTTGAAATTAACATTAAATCGGAAGAGCTTATGCTCTTGGGAATGAGATATGTGGAGAAGATAACTAGCTGGAGAAAAGGCCAAGTGCATCTAAGATTGATGTGTTCGACCTGCTGATCATCCTGAAATGTAATCCTGAAAGGGCAGGAGCTATAGAGACACTTCTTGCATGGCAGAGACTCGCTCTGTGATTAGCTCAGGCAGGACTGAAATGCTACATAGTGTTGTTGTATGTCCTGGCTGGGTTTTTTTAATGCCCGTTTGTTCAGTTTATATTGATCTTTCTGGATTTATCCATTGGAGGAGAAGGAGAAACGTCTGATTTAGATTGTTGGTGTTTTGTTTTTAATTTTGTTAAGGCCCCACAGGCCTTTGGGCACGTGGCACCAAGGAAGAGAAACCATTATGGTGAGAAACAGAAGAGGAACCCTATAAGGAGTGCCAGGAGGAAGGGGCTGTAGGTTCCTGAGCCCCTCTCCTCTCCTTCCCATCTGCCCCACTGACTGGAAACACACAAAAGCTCTATACTTAACCAGCTCTGTCAACTGTTGGAACCTGCTGGTGGGGTGAGGACGCATTCCTGAGCGATATGTGTGGCCGAAGTGCACTGCTGCAGCTGGTAGCATGAGTGCTGGCCCCCAGCTGCAGCTGGCTGTCCTCTGGCCTTGGCTGCTAATGGCTACACTGCAGGTCGGACTTGGCCATACTGGGCTGGCACTGGCAGCGGAGTCAGAGAGGTCAGCAGCACAGAAGGCTATTATTAGGGTGATCCCCTTAAAAGTGGAGCCAATCACATTGGAAGGGGTGTTTGCTAATGTTGCTGAGGTTACTCCAGCAGAAGGAAAATTGCTGCAGGTAAGAGAAACTTTATTCTACCCCATTCCATTGGCCTTATGCTCCTAGTGCCGTATCCTCCCCCCACCCCCATCCCCACCCCCTTACTGCTCCTAGTGCAGTGGAATTGTTTTTATTTCCCAAGTGTACATTTGTAACCAGAGGAACTATGTGTTTTTTCTCTCTGAGCTGCCCACCTGTTTGCTTTGTAGTATAGTATAGTATCCTACTGCTCTTTAACCTTTCACACTGTGTCTCTTAAGATAATTTCTTTTATAACTGTTTTTTCGTCCTGTCATCAACTGCAGTTGTATACTAAAGCTGCTAGTGTACTAATGCTGAATGTATGGACATGTTCAGTTGCTCCTATGGGGTTTATTACTTTCTATCATAGTTGGTGATACAATGCAAAGTCTGGTGAGCCACTTTCCATATTGGGCAAACACCACTCAAAGAGGATGGGCTTTCTGTTGAAATCCTGAGAGATTCCCCTACTTCTCCCCTTACTTCTATATTTCTAATGGAGCCGAGGGATACAGGTGGATTCTGCCCTCCATAATTATTGATCCAGGATCTGAGTGTTGGCTCAGCTAAGGAGGCAAATTATCCTCAATTCACAGGTTCCCACAGCGTCAGTACCTGTTGTAAGTGTAATCAATATCTGTTTCTAACATCTTGATCCAAAGAGAGAGGAGAGCCTCTGAACAGATTATAGCAGCAGAGGCTGTGACAGAAGCACAGGTGTGCTGGTCAGTGAGCAGGCCGATTGCTCACATAATGTATCTGTAGAGTTCGGTTAATTGTAGCAGAGCATAGTGCGCTACTGGAGTACCTTCATGTGCCATCTTGTCTGTCAGTGACTTGCCTTGTGTGCCTTTCTCACACACAACTGAGCTCCCTGTTCAAGAACCAGATACTACAAAGCTCATGAAGACAGATAGTTTTTATTAATTTCAATTCTGAAGTCGTATTTAATTCTGAAAAGCAGTTCCCTGTGGTGACTTTCCAAATGTGACACTGACTCTTCAGTAACTAAAACCGTAAATTGTATATAACAATAGGAGAACAGAAAGATCTTTGAGCCAGTCTTGCAATATATGGTCCTCTGCTAACAAATCGGAAATGGACAGTAATACAAGATAGAGGCACTGAGGCATTTTGAAGCTTAATTCAGGTTTGTAAAGCAATTTGAACTCGGAATGAAAGTGCTAGAGCAGAGCAAAGTATTATTATATTAAACCATATTCCCATTATGAAAAGTATCCTCGACAAATATACTTGAGGACCAGTTCTGTCCTCAAGCAACACCCATGAAGTCAATATTCATGCCATACCAAAATCTACAGCAGTGCAGTATGTAAGTGCTGCATTTGAGCATACAGGTCTTCAGATGTTCACCCACAAAATATAGAATATTGATAGGGTTTTTTAAAAAAAAGAGGATATCCCGTAGTGCATGGAAGTTTGAACATTTTAACCTAATACAGTTTTTCAAATTGTTATCCTTTTACTATAAGAAGGAAGCTGAACCCATTCTAAGACACCATAGAAGGAACTATTTTGAGAACTAAACATTGGTAGATTGGAGTGTTAAATCAATGAGAGAATAAAAATGTCCACAAAATAAAAAGGTTGGAGAAACTCTCACTAATCTTATTTAATGTATCTAATGTATGTAAACATACACACAATACAGTTCAGTATCTGATTTTAGGCCCTGATTCTGTAACTAGCTTTGTACAGGTGGACATTTCCCAATCTCAGAGTCCCACTGAAGTCAGTGGTATTCCACCTGTTTGCAAAGGTCCATGCACGTGTAACTGGTTTCAGGATTAGGGCCTACGATTAAATTTATGGGGTCAGAGACTATCTTCGTTTAAAGGATGTTTATACCACGCCAGGCACAATGGCCAGAAAAGCTTAGATATTATACATACTGACCCCTTGTGTGTATGTATAATATCATCTTTATTTATGTTATAACCTACTGATACTCAGGTAATACAATACAGTGCCATTTAAAAAAAATTAGGTCAGATCCTGCTGTAGGTTCCATGTGTAAGGCCCCTGTGTGCACGTGGATCCCATTGGAAGAGTTGAAATCTAGATACACAGTTGTAGCTTGTTGTAAGAGCAACTAATAGGATGGCCTATATATGGGTTTACATTTAAACAGGGAAATAATACATCTTAATTATGGTATACTGGAATATCTTACTGTCCTTGTATTAATAACATCCCTGTCCTGCATGTGCTTAACCTTGGCATCAGTGGGACTACTCGTGAATAAAGTTAAGCATGTGTGCAAGTATCTACAGGTTCAAGTCCTTGTATATGATTTAGATACAAAACACAACATTATATTTCCATCAGCTAATGAGAAAAGCTTTTTTTTTTTTTTTAACCTCCAAGTTTAGATCTAAAGTTGTGATGACATGGTTACATTTCAAAATCAGTAATGTACAACCAGTCAGTCGTCCTAAACACAACTGTACATAAACTATCAGTGTTACCACTGAAGAGAAAAATGTCTGAACAGTCCTTTGTGAAGATTTTTAGTTCTACTAATAAAGCTAAAGGCTATATAACAGCCTTTTGTGGATAAATGAAGTTAACTAGAGAGCTACATGCTGAAAATTAAAAAATTGGAAAATATAAATTGTTAATACAATGATACAAGAATCAGCTTCAAAATTAATGTAGTAAAATGTTAATCACTTATGGGCATATCCTACAGCCCTTTCTTCCATGGGTATTGCCTTTCACTTCTGTAGGATTATTCATGTATAAGGGGCCAAGGGCTGCAAAATTAGGCCTCATACGTTAAAAGAAAATTCTTTATCTAGGGTACACTTAGATTGACCAAAATAATTACTATTACAGAGCCAGTTTATTATATAAAAGAATTTAGTGTCACCAAACATGTAAATATCACTATCAGAATATATTTTTTATTTTCAATGTATATATCATATTCTTTAGGTGCATTAAAAATGTTTAAAAATCAACATTAATTCTAATGCAGCAAACAGACTTTATAAATATGGCTTCATAAATAAAACCCTCCCAAATCCAGACCAAACTCAGTCCTATTTCCCCCCCACCCTCCATCATCCTTTCTGTTTATACCAGAAAAAGCCTGGGAAAACACTGAATTTTGCAGCATGTCCCAAAGGTCACCAAATCCAGGCTCCTGTGACTAGGGAGAGTATAGGGTATGGAGATAATTCCAAAGCAAAGGATCCCTCACTGAGAAGTCCCTGCCATCAGCCCCCTCCAGTCTAAACCAGGGGCCAGTTAGCTCTGGCACTCCAGAGGTAATATGTCACAAAGAGAGAATAATCTCTCAAATACACAGGACCACTTAAGACATTATAGGTGAAAACCAACACCTTATACTTCAAATGGAAATAATATGCTCTCAGCATGAAACATTGCTTAGTAAGTGGGCAGCAGCATTCTGCACTAGCTGCAATTTTCAAACAGTGTGAAGGTGCAGCCCCATGTAAAGCACGTTGCTGTAATCTATCTTTGACATGAACAAGTTTGGATAATTGCAGGAAGTAACCCTACATTAAAAAGGAAAGGACACAACCTTCTAGATAAGCACATTATAAAAAGCACTTTTGACCTTTGCTGCTAATTGGAGATCCAGAAGCATCTGAGATCCAAAATGGCCCCCAATTTCAAACCTTAGAAATGTTTGGCAGATGAACTGCCTCAGTTGTGGTTACTAATAATGTTTCTATCACTACTTCTCTTTTTCTCTATTTTGTAATTATTATCTGTCTCTGTGCTGACTTGAGTCTCAGCCAGTTAGCTTTTTCATCCATGCCCCAATCTCCATTACATGTTGGGTAAATCATTTATTTTCACTTGTAGGGTTTGAAAAGATAGAAATATCAGATTTCCCAGAAAAAAGGGGATAGAGCCATACTCCAGATTGACTCTGCCTTCTTCCATTAGAGATTTAGGGATAATGAAACTTATTTGAGAAATATGTGATCACGTAATTAAAGACTGTATTGAAAAGCATATGTGCATGGGGTTCAGAATTAAAAATTAAACATTCATTATAATTTCTTTTTGGGATGTATAATTGTTCAAACTCATGTAGAAGTAGAAACATGGTATTGCCTTTGTATATGATATTAATGAGATCAGTATTAAGAATTCTGTATCCAGTTCTGGTGTCCACATTTTAAAAAGAATGTTGATAGATTAGAAAGGGTAAAAAAAAAAAAGAGAGAGAGAGAGAGAGTGATTCAAGGTCTGAAAAACTGTCAGATAGAGAGACCTTTAAGAAACTCAAATTATATCTATAACTTTATCCAAGAGACAGTTAAGAGGTGATTGATCATAATCTGTAGAAACCAACATGGGAAGATTTCTGATAGTTGAGAGCTCTTGTAATTTAGCAGACAAAGACGTCAGTGTTGGCAACTCTTGTGATTTGACTACAAGTCTCACAATATTTGGTGTTTTTCTTAAAATCACAGTTGCTAGAATCAGGAGATAACATGAGAAACTCAGTTCTTTAAAAAAAGAAGTAAAATATGCTTCTAGTTCTGATGGTTGCAGAGAAAAACCTGAAAACATAAAGCAAAACATCCTAAAGGCTCAGAAGGCAAAGAAAAAAACTCAAAACTTTTTATTAAAAAAACTTAATTTTAAGTCAATGACATGATTTGGGGTCTGACTCATGATTTTTGAACACCTAGGGTTAGCGATACTAAATAAGATCCAATGGCTGGAAGCTGAAACTAGATCAATTCAGATTACAAGTAAGGTCAAATTTAACAGTGAGATTAATTAACCAGTGTAACAAGTTACCCACAGATTAACAGAATCCAACATTACCCCCAGATTACAAAATTTAGAAATGGAGAGGGTTCCCAGTATTGGAGTTCATAGTGCATTTGGGAGATGATAGGTCTGAGTGAACTCAGTTAAATGTATATGGATACAAATCCCAAGCGCTAAAAATGTAAATATATTAGTAGGACTATATGGTTGATCTC